GAAAGCAGGTGTCCAACGCTTAATGGATGACCAAGAGATTTTGTTTGAGAAGACTCCCGTTCCCACCATTTCTTACAAAGATGTTTCAATAGTAACCATTTCCGCCAATCCTTCTAGGGTCTTCACCAAAAGACCCGTTAGGATTACATTTGTTCCTAAGGTGACTCCACTGATAATTACTATGCCAGGGCCGATCCCGTACTCCTCAGATAAAATTGTCCCCTGGAACTATGGGGGTGACGTCTACTATCACGGCGTCAAGCAGGATTGGTTGGCTGATGAAGAATCGATTTTTGAGAAGGCTGGCCCCGACATCGGCAACATTACGGGAACCAGCAAAATAACCCGAAGTAGAAGGGTATTCTCCCCCGAGATTGCTCCTTTGAAAACTATTACAGGTCCTGTAATCATCCCTGCTTTTGTTCCTGTTGACACTACTACTACAATCCCTATGGTTACACCTACTGATACCCCTATCACCGAGTCAACCAAGACTTAGGGAAAATGCATTTTGGTTGAGCCTGTCCGGATGAAGGCACAATCAGTATCTATCCCAGAAGCCTCCAAGAAGGAGATGGAAGAAATTTTGAAAATTATAAAGAGAAGTGACTACAACATAGTCGAATAGCTAGGGCAGACTCCGTCAAAGATTTTTATGCTAGCTTTACTGTTGTGCTCCGAGGCTCATGCGAAGGCCTTGGTGAAATTTCTTAAAGCTACCCATGTGCCACAGGAAACCTCTGCTGATCAGTTCAAATATTGTGTGGTCAGTTTAATAGCTGGCAATATTTTAGGCTTTTGTGATGCTGACCTGACACCTAGAGGGAGGAACACAACGAGGTGTTGCATGTCTCTGTCGAATGCAGGGGAACTACTTTGGCCCATGTCCTGGTTGATACTGGTTCATCTTTGAATGTGTTGCCTAAGAAGGCTTTGGATAGACTAGACTATGAAGGTTTGACTTTAAAACCCAGCAACATAGTGGTAAAGGCCTTCGACGGTTCAAAGAGAATGGTGCATGGGGAGATGGACATCCCCATTAAAGTTGGAACTCAAACCTTTGATTCAACTTTCTACGTGATGGACATTCTCCCTTCCTATTCATGTTTATTGGGCCGACCTTGGATTGATAATGCTGGTGCCGTCACCTCTATATTACATCAGATGCTGAAATACCCAACCAAGGGAAAAATCATCATTGTCCATGGAGAAGAGGAATATATGGTCAGTCACCTGAACTCCTTCAGATACATTGAAATGGATGGTGAATTCATTGAAACTCCATTTCAGCATTACGAGGAAGCCCCACAAATAGTGGCAGCAACCAGGACTGCTTCCCAAGTCCCAAAGATTACAAGACCTCCACTAAAGATGTCTTCTCTGAAAGATGCCAAGGCAGTGGTCGAAGAAGATGGGTGTACTATTTGGGGCCAACTCCCGGATATCCCTTACAAATATGACAAATTTGGTTTGGGTTTCACTTCAGGAGGCCAGAAAGTTGTTCGTCGTGCTCGTGCCAGGGGACCACCTTTGCGAATCAGCAACCATGGAGTCAACGCAATGGAGGATAGTGATGACAGTTGTGACCTAGAAGATTGGATTTTCCCAACTATCAATGGAGGACTCAGCAACTGGGAAGCCAAAGAATTTGTCCCTATTACTTTTATCCAACAGTAATTCTCTCTAAATTTTTGTCGGACTTGTAATATTTAAACAATTCAGACTTTTAAAACCTTGTGTCTTACCCGATGCACAATGGTCCATTTGTAAGGGTTGTTACTTCATTTTCATATGTCATTAATGAATCATAGACGTTTTTGCATGCAAACTGTATGCTCTTTGTCTTTATTTTTCTACATTTTTTATTTCTTTCAAAGATAGTTATGCTCTTACACACACTCACATATCAAAATGCAGATCTACATCCACTCAGGATCCCATGTGTAACGATTCTGCTATGGCCTATTGTGACTTTGAAAATCTAATCTACCAAGCCAAAGACGAAGGTGAGGAAGATTGTGAAGTGCCAGGGGAACTAGCCAGGTTACTACAACAAGAAGAAAGGACCATACAGCCCCACGAAGAACTGGTTGACACAATTAACTTAGGTACCGAAGAGGACAAGAAAGAAGTCAAGGTGGGTGCCAATCTGGAACCTAGTGTCAAGAAACACTTAATTCAGTTACTACATGACTATATTGAGGTATTTGCTTGGTCATACGAAGATATGCCAGGACTTAATGCTGATATCGTGGTCCATCGTCTACCAACAAAAGAAGATTGCCCTTCGGTAATATAGAAAGTCCGTCGCATGCGGCCAGACATGTCAGAGAAGATCAAGACTGAAGTCATGAAACAATTCAACGTCGGATTCTTAGTTGTCACCTCCTATCCATAATGGGTCGCCAATGTTGTTCCAGTGCCTAAAAAGGACGGCAAAGTACGTATGTGTGTGGACTACAAAGATTTGAATAGGGCAAGCCCTAAGGATGATTTCCAACTTCCCCATATCGATATTATGGTTGAAAACACCGTACAACATAAAGTATTTTCCTTCATGGATTATTTCTCAGGCTACAACCAGATCAAAATGGCACCTGAGGACATGGAGAAAACAACATTCATCACACAGTGGGGCACTTTCTGTTACAAGGTTATGCCATTTTAGTTGAAGAACGTTGGGGCAACTTATCAGTGTGCCATGGTAGCTCTGTTTCATGACATGATCCATCACGAAATAGAGGTATATGTGGACGACATGATAGCCAGATCTCAAACTGAAGAGGAACATCTTGATCATTTGCAGAATTTATTTGAAAGACTAAAGAAATACAAGCTAAGGTTGAACCAGAATAAATGCACATTTGGGGTGAGTTCCGGTAAACTACTGTTGCACCCCAAAATTTGCCCTCCTAATTTCCTTTATTTTTGGCTTAGACTTTTGCATTCATCTGCATCTTTTTCATTAGGTCACTAACATGGCATACATTTCATTCAATATAGCTCTGAGGTTCAAAGTTCAGTGGTTGTGCGATACTAGGGTTTCATAGTGGTTAAGGCGCTCATATCCAATAAAGGACTTCTTCTCCCTCAAGTAGCAAGGCTATTATCTTCTGATAAATAACCGATTGTAGGTCATTCTAGTCAAGAACTCTAGGACGGGACCTAGCATATGTGGGCTTCGAATCATGACGTCCTTTCCTATAAGTATACTTGTCATTTGATTAGGATTAATGACTGTGACATGACAATCGTCTACTCCTCAGTTAATCAAATTAGGTTTTGTTGAATCATGGTTCAAAGATGTTTTATCCGGATATTTCTCTGTGCGTCCGAACGAGGAATCAAGATTGTGAGGGTTTCACATCAAGGGAATTCTTTTGTGATTCAGACTTTATCATCCATCTGTAAGATGTTCCTTATGACACTAATCTCAAGTTGAAATAATCGATCGCTAAGGGCTGAGGATTGAATTGTGAAGCGTGGTTCATGACTTAAGATATGAATTCATAGATTTCTCCTTAACCAAGGCAATCATTGTCCTCATCATTGTCATTAGTTATCTGCGATGTGAGTAGGTTTGGATTGAAGTAGGTTTCTCATAGAAGAATTCATGCAAGGTAATTCAAGGTTCAAGGCATTCAAGGCAGGGTTTGTTCAACATGGCATACCTGGTTGATGAGCTTACAAGCTCTTATGAGACCTTGAGATGCATAATCAGGGGCCAATTTCATAGATATGTGGATAAGATCTGTTGACTTCGGTTAAAGTAAGTTTTGAAAAATTAACTTTGGGACCAAGGTCTCCCTTGAATTTTCATCTAATATGTGTTGGGAATTCGAGTTGCATTTGAAGAATGGTATGGTAAAGGAAAAGAAATATTGGTTCAGAAAAGAAAAATTCATTAAAAATCAGGGTTTCTATTCATTGATAAAAAGTTCAAGTAATTGAAGATCAGGGGAAATAAGGTTTCATATTAATCTTGATCATATTCTTTCATTATCATTTACATCCATCTTTGATGATTTAAGGTCGTCATTTAGGGAAGGACTTTGTCAAGATAAGAGACTTGTGGATTGAATCGTGGAATATGAGGCATGATACAAAAGGCAAGGTTGTGAATTTTTTAGGATCAAGATCTTATTGACTATTCAAATTATTTGTCATTCAAGTTGATTTGGGTTCAAGATTGAAGTTAGGAGTTCATTGAGAACGCAAGTGTGATGTGGATTTGAAGTTTGATTTGAGTTCAAGATGTTCGAAAGTGTTTGACTGGATTAAAGTCGGCAAAGAGTCTTAAGTATTATTCATATGGCTTTCTTGGAAGGTAAAGTGCAGACTGCGAGGTTTTGTTTCAAGTCAGAGTTCATACGCATTACAAAGATGTTCACCGTTATTTCAGATTCAAGTTCACAATGCGTTCAAACATTTATTCAAGAAAATACTATCCAATTCCATTCAATTTCATTCTCATTCATGATTCAAGAAAATACTATCCAATTCCATTCAATTTCATTCAATTGTAACAACACCCCACAAGAAAATTTGATGCTTTCATATCTTCAAGCATTTTTTCAAGACTTTGTCATTTAAACTCCGTCCTTAAAATTCATCACCCAACATTTCAAGCTCAAAGGTCATTTACAATTCACACTATAAATTTCAAGTTCATCCAAACCAAACATTCATTATAAAATCATTACAATCTCATTACACCAATATTCTACAAAGAAAAAAAAACCGTTACAAAATACACTTGAACAAAATTCTTTAGTCCTAAAGGTGCTAAAATTCCATGAGTAAACTTCTAATTCCATGCCATGCCAAAGTTCTTCATCTTCAGTTCATGACCTGCACATTCATACAAAAAAAATCCAAGTCAATACAAGCAATCATATCAAAATACCCCCATTCCCACCGCTACCCTCATTTCACACAGACACAAAATGTTGCCTCACAAGATACAAGTAATCCTACTTTATTACACAAACAATCTCAAGATGAATGTCTCCAACGCCAGACTATACCGGTTTCCCACCAACATTCTCAAACAAATGAAGTTCAGAAGTCTGAAAAAAGATCCTGTCTTTAACCATGAGGTAATCAAAACAAATAATCCCAACTGTGAATCACAGTATGCAAAATTGCAGCAGATGAGTAATCAACAGGCCACAGTAAATGAACAACCTAGTAGCCAAATCAATCGTAGTAAGCAGGTGCCATTTGGCTTATTGCTCCCTATCTTGATTCCCGAACTTGCCAAAGATAAAGCAATGCAACTTACAACATTGTTTAACAAATTGAAGAAAGATGAAATACCCAAAGATCATTTTGTACGGCTTATGAAAGGGATTGTGGGGGATCAGATGCTTAGAATAGCATTGACGAAAGTGCAACAACAAACAAAAGCCAACGCAGGTTCTTCTGGACAGCAGCACCCTGTAAGGATGCCAACGGTTACTTCCAGTGGAACAAAATTTAATGATCCCCATGCATTAGCACAACTGCATCAGAGAAGTATGAATCCTGCTGCAGACCATTCTCATAATACTTCTTCAGCTATCCAAGTGAAGAGTGAACCGACCTATTCAACTATGGATATTGGTGCTAAAAAGTCTCTGGAACATGATGTTCGAGTTGTGCAACCAAATCAATTACCATCATCAGGTTCTAATGCCGTCAGTCAAGAAACTGAAAGATCCTCAGTTCACATACAAGGCCTTAATAAGCAGCAACAGCAGCATATACATTTCCCATCGACATATGGAAGCAGTGGTGGTAACTACAACCATTTTTTCGGGACAACTACTAGTTCGTCATCTCTCAGACCACAACCTCATCCTCATGATTCACACATAAGGCAAATTCCTCATCAGAATATTGGTTTAAATCACTTGGGTGTAGAACGACAAAGTTCTTTCACTGGGTTGCCTTCTGTTAATTCTGGTCAAACTGAACAAGGTGGTAGCAAGGCAAAGGACAACATCAATTCTGTTAAAGAAGTCAATACTGCTTCTAATGGGGGTGTTACTGTTGAGTGTGGTTCATCTGAGAAACTTCGGCATCTTAAGAAAGTAGGAGCACCATTAGCTGTACCTTTTGAAACTGCCAACGGAAAGACTTCCAATGCTGGCGTAAGAACTGATTCCCCTGAGCTGTTTGCGGCGGATGCAGCCACTAAGACCACACTTGTAGTAGTTCCCTTCCAATCAGCTGGAAAAAGGCCCAAGAAGCCTGTTAATGAAGTTGCGCCTGTCGTCCATACTAAGAAGCGAGGAAGACCACCTAAAGTAGATAGTTCTTCCGAGACAATACGTGATTTGGTGGCTTATAGCAGGGAACACTCAGGGTTGTCCTGTACAGGAGCAGGTATCAGAGAAGGTGGTCCAATGCAAAGGTGCCAAGGCTTACGAGAAATTAGAGGATCCTATCTATGTGCTAGAGAACAACATACCAATAGATCCTCAGTACTATCTTGAGAATCAAATTAGCAAGCCAATTCTAAGAATTTTTGAGCCAATTCTAAAGAATGCCAGCAAGGAACTTCTCCATGGAAGTCACACGAGATCTATTTCTATTTCTACTCCGTCTAACAGCGGTATAATGAAATTTGCCAAGAAACAGTTTACTTGCATTGGTTGCAAAGCTTTACTTAGCAATGGAGACCGCACTCTCTGCTCTCATTGCAAAGGAAGGGAAGCTGAACTGTACTGTAAAACTGTAGCTCAAGTGTCGGATCTTGAGATACTTTTTGGGAGGTTGTGGACACAGTGTCAGGAGTGCCAAGGTTCACTTTATCAGGATGTTCTCTGTACAAGTCGAGATTGTCCAATTTTTTTATCGACGCAAGAAGGCACAGAAAGACATGGCTGAAGCAAGGGTGCAATTGGACAGATGGAACTTCTAACTTCTAAGGCTTTTCTAGTACTTGGGAAAATTCTGTAGGTTACATGGGATGATCCTGATTTAGTTACAAATACGAAGAGGCTGAACCCCCCCTAGCGACTTTCTAAGAGATTGATAACTAACTTCCATAACCCAAAATTTCTAACAGCCCATAACTAACTGTAACAAACTCCTAACTAATTTCTAACATTTTTCTAACTAACAAAACAAACCTACTGACAAAATTCATCTTAAACTAACTTCTAACTAACAGTTAAAAACTAACCCTCTAACCTCTCATATACACTGTTGATTCTTATAATAGAAAACGAGATCTAATGGCTAGGGAGAGTTCTGTTGTAACTAACTTTTCAACCTTCCTCCAACTGTATAAAGCTATTGCTTCTGCAATATTGAACTGGACAATTCATTCATAAGAAGAATTACATAAAATTTCAAGTCTCACCTTTCAACTTTCTCTCTGTGCAATTAATCTTGATTCTTCAGCACATCATCTTCATCTCTCTCATGCTTCTACATTCCTCGCCTTTCATTCACCTCAAATAATCGTTCAATAACCACATATTTGACCCTGGTCCCCGTGCTCTCATTTATCCCTGTAACAATAGCCCTCAGATTCTCTCATCAGATTCACAGCTTCGATTCAACACCGCACAACAACAGTTCAATACAACGAAGAAACAAGACGCAAATGCATCACAACATCAATATAGAAGAATGAACAAGAAAGCAAAGCAGCAGAAGCAGTAGAATAAAATTGAAGAAAGAGAGCAAAGATGGAAGATCACCTCAGAGTTTATCTCCGTTAGACCATCTTCACCATCATCGCCGCCGAGGTAGGGGACGCATCCTTTTTCATTCATCTCTTGACACCACGATGCGATTCTTTCCTTTGTGAGACCTTCCCCCATTTTGGTAGCTCGATTCCCTACTTCATCACTGTTTAATTCCGGCTTTAGGTTTTGGGATTTTCTCATTGTTTAGATTTCAGAGGTAAGAGATTGAAGGAGGAGGGAGGTTAGAGGTTGTCGATCGTGGAAAAGAGAAAGAAACGAATTAAGGTTGTGTGTGGTTATTAGAAGCAAAGATGACGGAGGCAAGGAGAGAGAATGGCCGCGGGGTTGAGGTGGAGGTGAAAGAAGAAGAAGACGACGGGAGAGATGTCCAGCGACGTCGTCGTGAAAAAAGAGAACAACTCTATCTTTCAACCCTAAATTCCCTTTTTTTTATTTTTCATTTAGTTCCCTTTTTTCTTTTCCTTTTTTTTATATTCTTTTTATTATGTTTTAATTCTTTTAATTCAGATAAATATAATTATAAATATAATAATATGATGATTAATAAAATGGGCCAAACTAATCAATTCCTGGACTATGATTATTTTTATTTTTTGCTGATTGTGTCTATTTTTGATGGGGCCTAATGTCATTGCATTTTTTTGCAGCACATAGTGAATTCAGTTCGTACCTCCTGAGATCTTATTTCCAATACTCATTTCGATTGCGTTTGCGATTAATTTTGACGATTTATTTTCTTTGGCAATATTGGTAAATAAAAGAGATTTCTTTTCAATTCTCTCACTTTTTCTTTTCAATTTTAATCATTAGTTTTATTCATTTCATGTGTTTCGTTTGCAACTTTTGGTATGGATTGTATGCGATATTTTGATACTTGCTGCCTAATTTTACTTATTCGTATATTATTTCATGATTCCTTAGGAGATTTTGGTTCAAATTTAATCTTCGATTTAATTGAACTAAAATTAGACATTAGGATTTCAAATTCAAACATGCTAACATTAGGTAGAATTCCCTCATTCATTCTAACTTTAGGTCTAACCACACACAATAACATTAGGTTTAGAAATAGGCTAATTCCCTTTTGACTTTTCTTTCTCTTTGAACATATGCATTTAAAACAAAAACTTCTTTTTCTCGTAAACTTCAAAAAATACAAAAAAAATTTACTGACGAGAATCATATCTTCGTTAAGTATGTGAGACGATAAGCGGGTCTCTTCTCGACCTTATTGATCTCTTATTCTAAGCTTTGGTGTGGTTTAAGTCTCAAAGACTCATTTCATGAATAAGTAGAGAAATGGCTAAAATCTCTCTCTTGAGGTTAACTAGCTATTATCTACAAGCGAAAAACACCAACAAACATAAAAATCTTTTTTGCCCTCGGGCCTTTCTTTCAAACCCTTTTCAAAAGAGCATACTAATTCACTTCTGTGCTGACGCATAAATCTCCAAAGGTCGAGTTGCGGCAGAAGGCGAAATTAATGTTGTTCATTAAAAAAATACCAACCGACAAAAACATATAAGCCGAACTACGGCTGCTCTGATTCCTTAAAAGGGATACGTAGGCATTAGGGTAGGGCCCAGACGAGCGCAATTTTATTTTCCCTACATTCTTTTCTCCTTTTCTTTTGCATGCACTTTCCCTTTAGCAATAATAAACCGTAAGCATAGATTAAACACACCCATAAGATAGACAACAAGAAAGGATACCGTAGAGTACTACGGGCGTGTGGGGTGCTAATACCTTCCCCTCGCGTAACAGACTCCCTTACCCGATCTCTCAGTTGCAAGACTGTGACTTCTCCCTTCTCAGGTTTTCTCGATGTTTACCTTTCCCTACATGTGGGATAAAAGACGTTCGATGGCGACTTCATTGTTTTGATGATTTTCAGCCGGTTGTTTCAGCTGGCGACTTCACTGGGGACAGGTCGACCAAATGCTGGTCCATCCCGGAGTCGCTCCTAGCTCTTGTTTTCTTTTCTTTGGGTGTTTATTTTTATGCTTTCAGTTTACTCATTTGTACATGTTTATCTGAGCATAAGTTTGCATCGCATTTTATTGTTTTCCCTATTTGTTATTGTTGTACCCCAAAATTTGCCCTCCCATATTCTTCAAGAAATTGCCAAGTCAAGCTTCAAAATTCCCCAAGGGTTGCACAGTGCAAGGGCCTCCTGAACAGTCAAAATTAGGGTTTTGGTTCTGATCAAGAAAATGAAGTTTCCAAAAGTCCAATCAAGTCTCACATGCCAATAAATATGGTCAAGCATCCTCATATCAAGTTTCAAGACTTTCAGCACAAAATTGCACAGTCAAAACCCTAATTGCACTACAGTCAACTGCAGGGGCAAAATGGTCATTTGACAGTCAAAAGTTCAAATTTTTGGTCAACATCTCATTTTGAAGCCACAAACATCATTTGATCAATGCTTGATCATGATTCTCAAAACTTGGCTCAAAAATCATCAAGATGCAAAAGTTTCCTTATTTGGACAGCTGAAAAAGTCAACTGTAAATTGACCAGGGCATAACTTTCACATGGATTATCATAAAAATTCCATCCAAAGCTCATTTTTAAGAGAAAGACATTTCCTACAACTCATCTTCATACTTCAAGTCCAAGAAATGCTCTCACAAAAAGTTATCAATTTCTACATTATAGGTCAATTTCAAAAGTCAACAAAAATGCACTTTAAGTCAAAGACCATAGCTTGAGATTGGTAAATCAAAATGACATGGGACCAAAGGCATTGGTTAGAGGACTCAAAGACCTTTCCAAAATGTCCAAGAACATGAGCAAAGCTTAAAAATTGAGCAAGTTATGCCTTGTGGAAGTTGGGAAATTTTTGGATATTTTGAAAAGTCAACATTGGTTCAAAAGACCTAAAATTGCTAATGGGCCTATTTTTCTTCCATAATTCATCATCCAAAGCATGTGCACGACCATTTGGCCCAAAGGGAAGTTTTTCTCCATTTTTATTTATTTATTTGAATTTTTTATTATTAATAATTCATTTAATCAAATAAAATACATGAAAAATATAAAACCAATGAAATAAAATCTTTTTGTGCACGAAATATACTCAATAATTCGTGCATGATCAGATATGGAAGAATTGGAATTGATTGGATATGATTTGTACAAAAATAGCATGAAAAAAGATTTGAAACTCATGGTGAAAAATCAAATATTGCATTCATTAATTCATGGATTCTAATCAAGTTTTTCAACCCTAATTGGTTCCATACATAAGCACAAGCAAGACCTAATGCCTCATGACCACTAAGCTGCGCAAGAATATAAAAAACCAAACTTGAAATTTTCTTTGAAAACTCATATTCTAAAAACAGGTTTGCAGGTCGTTTCAAGCCACGAGACTCATTCTATTGCCTTCCAAGGACCTCAAGCAATCTTCCTGGATCAAAAACATCAATCATAACCCTTTGAATCACTGTACAGAAGTCCAATTTTTCTCACTTTTTTTCATAATCGTGCTTTACAATTTACGCATATTCATGGCATTTTATTTGTAGATTCATGCTAAGCAATGTGTTCTAAAGCTAACCATGTCCTTTGATTGGATTATTATGCGCTGTATGCAAAGATGCCATGGTCGTGTTTTAGGGTTTACAGGACCTTGGATTAGGGTTTTTCAAATAAGGAAAAATTGGCCTTCAATACTTGGACCATTGAATCCAGCATGCTCAGACGATCACAAGGCTACCCTCGCGCCTAATTTATGGAGCCCCTGGGGCTAGTCGCTATTTTCTGATATGTTGCCTAAGGGAACGGTGTAAAAACCGTTGCCTATGTTTGTTATGTTTTCAGGAAGAACGAAGATGTGAGGAAGATGATGATGTGTAAGGCTCTGAGTGGGGCGTTTAAAAGTTCGCGCTAAAAAGCACTAACGCATGTTTTTATTCTTATAATATTTGTTTGTTCTTTATTATACAGAAAACGCGCTTGGTACGATTGGCAAGGCATGTGTGTGTTAACGTTCAAGACCTGGGTTCGAGCCCCAGGTCTTCACCATCTCCATATTATTTTCCAATTAATATTCACATGCAGATTCCATGCTGAAGCGCACCATACACCTTCAAGATCAAGCCGGCCACGCGTCAATTACCTCAATCCAAAGGCACAGGCCTGGGGAACACGATGTGCTCTAGTCAACGCGTGGGTACGTGTCCTGGGAAAGTCCACAAGGCCAAGGTTAATGGGCCTGGATCACTACAAAAAACCTCCATATTAAGGGGCAGACCCCCTAGGTTTGCAAAATTTATATTTTCTTTATTGTTTTCTTTTTTTATTATTTATACTTTCTTTTTAATTATTGTTTATTAATTATTTTCATAAAATATAAATAATATATAAAAAACATCAAAAAATCAGAAAAAAGCTAGAAAATAATAAACATTTTATTTTTAGTATTTTCATAAATAAATTATATTAATTCATTTAGTAAATTAATTAGGGTTAATTATAATCTTTTCATAATAAAAATCTAAAAAATATAGAATTAGGGTTTAATTAATTTTTATCTTTTTTTTTATTTTTTCTTTCATAATAATTAAATATTAGATATTTATTTTTATAATTAAATTTGCATGTAAATTAATTAGGGTTAATATTAGGTTTTAATCTTCTTTTCTTAATAAATTAAAAACAACTAGAATTAGGTTTAATTTCATTTTATTCTTTCTTTCATTAAAATCATAAAATACCTAAAAATACCAAAAACAATTTCCTTTCCTTTCTTTATTAATTAATTCCATGTAATTTAATTTTGCAAAAGGGTCCAACGCTCTCGTTCTAATTCAAACCGCATATTTATTTTATTTCGTTTAAATATTTATGTATCTCTCCCAAAGCCGTGTAATTAATCTGTCACACTTTTAATTCTTTATTTTCTTTACTTTCTTTATTTTTCTGTCAAATCGGGTTCAAGAAATTTTGGCGATGTGGACCCGCGCCTTTTGTAATAGCTTAGAATCTTTTACTTTTCGCAATTTTTAACTGTTAATCAAAGCATGAAAGAACGTATGGACAAAAATAAAAGCAAACGTTAGATCACCAATGATATGACAAAAGACAAAATACTTGAAAACGACACACAAATCACACACCACCCCTAGGGTACGCCTCACTGTTGCCTTGCCTCGAAAGGTGGTCGTCGAGTA